CCAACTGGAGTGGAGAATGTTATCAGTGCAGCACACTTCCCACGAGTCATTCTGAATTTCACTTGAAGCTTCAGCTAATTGAGAATAACATTATACGCAAAATGCTACAGAGCACTCGAGGCTGAAATATCCCGATGACAACATCTGGCTCATCAATAACGCCAATAAAACATTTCCAATAAATTATCCAATCGGAGCGTATCACTGGGCCCAACTAAATTGAATACACGAAACCCTTTTTACATTTTTCTCAGCCATTTACGAAATGAAACTACAAAGGAAACTTGACTCTTACGTTTTTTTATTTGATGTTTGATTTGTCACGCCTCGTGGCCAAATCTCTCGTGTAATTTCCAATATTTTTTTTTTCATACCATGTGTCAGGGAGATCGATTTCACGGTGAAAAGGGGTTTTTATCGAAATTTACGAATCGAAGGGTTCAACCACTCGTTTGAAAAAGTCCTTCAGTATGTTTTTGCAATTATATATTTACACAACTGCCGTCAATTTTTTTTATTCTTATTATTAATTAATTCATTATTATTCTTTCATTATTAGGGGGCTAATTCGCTAATATCGCTCCGCTCACTAACCCCCACATGACCCCTCCATAATCCTTATTCTGACTCTTCTTACCCACATAACCCTTATTGGGACCCTTGTTGAAGACCCTTAATCTGACTCTTGTGACCCATAATTAACCCTCGCGACCCTTATTCTGACCCTCACGACCCTCAATCTAATCCTTGTGAACCTTATTCAGACCCTCATGACCCTTATTCAAACCCTCGCGACCCTTATTCTGACCCTCATGCCCCTTAATCTGCCCGTCGCGAACCTCAATCTAGCCCTCGTGAACCTTATTCAGCCCCTTGTGACCATTATTCAAACCCTCGCGACCCTTATTCTGACCCTCATGCCCCTTAATCTGCCCGTCGCGAACCTCAATCTAGCCCTCGTGAACCTTATTCAGCCCCTTGTGACCATTATTCAAACCCTCGCGACCCTTATTCTGACCCTCATGAACCTTATCTTGCGAACCTTAATCTAGCCCTCGTGAACCTTATTCAGCCCCCCTGTGACCCTTATTCAAATCCTCGCGACCCTTATTCTGACCCTCATGATCCTTAATCTGACCCTTGTGAACCCTAATCTAGCCCTCGTGAACCTTATTCAGCCCCTCGTGACCCTTGTTCAAACCCTCGCGACCCTCAGTGTGACCCTTATGAACCTTATTCTGATCCTCACGATCCTTATCTTGACCCTTGCGACCCTCACTTTAGGATTCTTAATTTCGAGTACCAAATTTTCATCACCAGAAGTTGACTCGGATTTTTATAATATAGAGAGATTTCATCATTAATTATTAATTCATCGAAATATTCATGTATTTTTGTATGCGAATGTTTTATTGAAATAATTCCCAATTGAAATGATTTTCTTCTTTCACTTGAGCGAATTAATAATCGCATGAACGTAACAGAGAATATTTGATGATTCAATTACTTCGCGAAGTGAAAGTAAACTTTTACCCGAGAATTCTAAATTTATGGAGTACATCAAACAATGCACACCCCGTTAATTTCCCTCAAGATTCACACGTGCCGGTATCCCATGCCCCATGGTAAATGCAATTATTGCATAATGAGAGACTAGAGGCTAACGCCTAACTCCGGAAATTCGTCACAGACTGATCGAAACGTTGCATTTGTATGATAATGAGAATGAACTGCGGAGGTTGATCGTGCGTGAATCGGGGTAGTCGATAATGGATCGGGGAACATTGAATTTATGCCGAGTATGCAAATTGCGAAGATTTCAACGTTGTTGAGGTCAGGATGCTGAATGTCATAAGTGTGCCAGTGTTTCAGGCGCTGGGGAATGCGCGGAGGACGATTTAACATGCGTAACGGGACAGTTATATGAATACAGTATTCAAGGATGTCCAAGTACATTTTACTCTTTTTTAAGAATTCCTGTGAACTCGTGACCGTTTCTGCAGGCGAAAGATAAACTTCAATGTTTTTGAATTTTTAGAATGTTTATTGAGGGTTTAAAGTGGTGAATGAAATTTAGAGCTTCAAAATTTGAATTGTAAAATTATGGGAAAATTTGGAAACCATTGGAATTTCATGGACATTAAATTCGATTCGGGGAGAAAGAAAATATGAAATTTTAAAAACGAGAATTTTTTAACTCACTGGAATGTTCAATCAATACATGATAATTGAGTACAAATTTACTATTAATTTTTATAAATAACTGAGATAAAATTTGCAGTTTCGTAAAATTTCTTGAATCCTCCGTGAAATTAAAATATAGGCTGAAGATGAAAGAAACGTAGAGTTGTTTTATATCGAAATATCACGTGAAGTAGTCGCTGAGAAAAATCCTCGGTATTTCCCAATTTTTCAAATACCAAAATTTTTTTCTGCGTCATATTTTTCATTTTTTCATGTGTGAAGTTCATCTTTATATTAAAACATGTCTAAATTGCCTAATTGTTGATCATGAGAAGAAAAAACATAGTATTTGTAAATTTTTTTAACTCACAAATTATTCTTCCCACAACTAAACCTAAAATTTTTTCCGTTTTTCGAGGTTTTGCTAGCCTGTTGCTCCACCCACACTTTATCACACCATATGTCACTCATTAGATTACCTCCACTTGTCCAGTCAACAGAGCTTTGCATTATCAGTCACCGCGTCACCTTCACTCGTGTTATCCCCTCTAAAACAATCCACCCCGAAAAAAACAAAAACCCCAATCAGCAGAATTTATACTACAAAAACCAGGTGTCTGACAGCTATCTGAATTTAAGATGTCAGATGGTAAAAACTATCTGAATCTTCAAAAGTGTCTGAAAATTTCAACCACCATTTCCGTCTGAAAATGATGCTAGACATTTTTTGTGTCTGAAAAATTTCAGGTATTTATTTTCAGATATTTTCTGTCTGAAATTCAGTTATTTATGAGCGATTCAAACATTTCACTATTAAGATATCTCACCTGATTCAGACGGCAAAGTCCCTTCAAACATTAATTTTTAAGAAAAAAAAAACGTGTTTTTTTTTTGGTTCAGACACATTTTAATGTCTCAAAAGTCTCTACAAAATCGTCTCAAAGTGTTTGAAAAGTGTCTACAAATGTCTGAAATTGAGTTATTTATGAGCGATTCAAACATTTCACTATTAAGATATCTCACCTGATTCAGACGGCAAAGTCCCTTCAAACATTAATTTTTAAGAAAAAAAAAACGTGT